TTCTGGGGAGCCCCGAGTGAACTCTCAGGGTGTGAAACAAGTCTTCCTTGGTTGATACCCTCATGAGCGACAGATAGCCCAATGCCATCGCCGATAGGCCCGATGGCGGTGTCTGTAGCTTTTCTGGTGTCAGGGTGCACCCTCAGGGTGGCCGAGTTTGAGTCTCCATGGCTGATACTGATATCTCACGGAAGGCCATGGCCGATACTTGATACTCTTATAGATAGCCCATCGCTGATATCTCATGGCCAACACTTGGTGCTTGATAGAGAGCCCAGGGCTGGTCAGATAGCCCGTGGCCCGATGTTGGCTTATACCTGATCCTGGATAGCCCATAGTCTACAGCCTATAGGACCGATGGCTGATACCTGATGGCTGACAATAGATAGCCCATGGCTGATATCTCATGGCCATGACCGATACTTGATAGCTGATAACTCAATGGTGTCTGATACCGGCTGGATCCCTAACAGCCCATAGCCCAAGGCCCATTACCCGCTGATGCATTGAGCTGGCTCTGCAGCCCAGCAAACTTTTCCTAAAGCGCTTCCTTCTCTTTCTTTTCGACTGCAAGGCTATCTGTAAGGAACTCGACTTTCCTGTTGGTACCGGTAATAATCTCTTCGACCTTCAACGCTTTCATCGACATGGCTGGACTAGCGGAGGTGAGAGTGAGGGCGGCGGCGGGAGTATACGACTCCTCGGCGGTAGAGGCGTTAGGGGAGGAGGGACGCCTCTGGGATGGAAAGATAGCAGCGGCCTATGTCACTGCCGGTAGTAAAAGTAAAGTAGGTGTTGATTTCTTAAAGCTTGTAGTACACTGGTGAAGCGCAGAGGTCGTAGATAGGCGAAGGGAGTATGAGATTTGTGTTCTTCGTAGGTGCAAGGTCCAGCTTCTTATGGCGGGAAGTCTTGCCCGCGAAACAAAAGGCGTCCATTCAGATCCCTGGAAACAAGGCGCCTACTGTGATGCTGCTGTGATGGTGACGTTGGTGGTTGTCTGCAGCCCTTGATTCCTTGCAATGCAGACATTGTACTTGTTCTTCAACCCAGCGAGTCACCCAGAGATCCATTGAACTGGTCTAGATGGAAAAAGGACCTTCTCTTGCTCGTCATCAACGGCGTCGTTGGTGCTTGGGGTCTCGTGATCTCTTCCTGGGTTTGCGGAAATGGCCGAGGAGTGGCATATGTCCTGCAACATGCTCAACGGCGGACCTGGGAACGACGGGGAGGCAAAGGGGGATCAGTCCAGCGGAGTCGGGACTTGGGGTTGGGGAACAGACATGATTCGATCGTCGCCGACGATTTTGTTACATGCATGGGCTATCTAGAGCCTGGCCGCGGGTGGGTGGAAGAGTAGGATTGCAACCTGTATTTACAAACAACGCACAGAGGCCTCCTCAGTAGGTCCGCCACAAGAAGAGAGAATGAGGGTCACATGATGTATATCTCAGTCAAGGACTTGCCAAGGGGCGCTAATGCAAGAGGAGGTGCACGGACCACAAAGAGTCGCGAGAGTCAGTTGTGGCCCGTGCACCAGCTTCGTGCATTAGCGCCCCTTGCACCACGATCACTTTGTGGTCCGTGCACCTGCTCTTGCATTAGCGCCCCTTGCTTCGCCAATGGCATCTCGTGCTTCATCACCCTGACCGAAAGGACGGTCGTCCACCGGTCATGCAAGGGTACTTCTTGCGAGACGTGAGGGGGATCGCCGAGATCCGATTAATTGGTATCCAGGACTAGCCCGCTGGCGAATACCTCGTCCCCAATCGCTCACACGGCATATTACTCGCTGGTGGTGGTGGTGGTGTGGTATTGTGCTGCGGTGTCGTGGTGAACCGAAACCAGTGGCCGGTATTGAGTCGCCCGTTTGACCACCTGGCGAAGCTGCCGGGCTGTCCGTGTGCGGGAAAGATGACAGAACGTCCGAACGCTCTAGGTACCATCAAGAAACACCCATGATCAAGAAAACACCGACCGATTCGCCAATAATGATGACGCGGGTCGCATCGGACTATTAATAGTGTTATTCGCGGCCGCACTAAGAAGGCTCTTTAACTCCAGAATGATGTCAATTCTGCGACGGATAGATCTTCGGAAGAAAGGCCTTCAAAGCGAGGACAGGCTCTGCAGTTTAGTTAGTAATGCACTCTCTGAGTCCAGCTGGAGAGATGTGTATGTATATTAAAGACAAGGAACCGTGTCCACCTCGAATTCTCTCCAGTGCATCCCTGAGCTGACGCCGTTCGCGGTGACAATGGCTTGATCATCAGCGAAGAAGGCTGCGTATGTGATGCGAGGAAGACGGTGCCACGGGGGAGAGAAGGCGTAGACACCATGAAGAAAGGAAAGGTAAAGATCGGAGGCTGAAGGAGCAGACGCCGCCATGAAGAGGAGGAGCAAGTACTTACAGAAAGCACCAGAGTCACATTGGTCTGCCTTCAAGAGCCACCAGGCACGCCCATATCATCCTTTACCACACCATGACCGATAATCACAGGGAATGGGACTTGTGGAAGGCAGAGGGTGGGCGTGTATGTTGAGAGATGGGCGTGTGTATTGAGACCGGAGGTGTTGACAGGCATGACTTTGCCCAAGATGAAGTGTTTACGGCCGGTCAACCCATCGGCATGATCCGAGCAGACACTGCCCAACAAGCCGCTGTTGGTGGGCGGGCCGTGCTGATCCAGTATGAGGAAACGAATAACCTGTACGCACCATTGCTGGACCGCGACCGGGATCACGAGATGAAGAGTTGTGTCTTCAGGGTCTTCAGAACGACATGTCTGAGAGGATGTGGTTGATCTGAAAAAGGTCCGCAGGGAGCTATGAGCCTAGTACAGAGGCTGGGCAAGAGTCTTGTGCGTATTTCAATTGCAGGGACCCCCGGCAGTGCATTGCCTTCGCCATGGCAGCCATCTCCTGTTGCGGCCAAAGGCAGTACAGAAATTTCGCGTCGGGGAAGAGCGGGAGCGGGATCGATATCACTCAGATCGCATCCGGTAGTTCCACTGCTCGTTGCAGAAGCGACGATGTCTGCCAAAGTTCCAAATCCATTCGTGGCTTTGTATGCACCCTTGTAGAGACTCTCCATTCCGGGTCGGCGAGCGGCAAGGTATTTTGGTTCTGACATCCTCTCGGCCACGGCAGCAGGCACCTGAACCCATTTCTTGACTTGAAATATCGTTCGTTTGAGCCAGAGGTTGCTTTGCGGCGTTTGGGAACTGATGCTCCACCTTGGATGTCCATGAGATCGCCATCGTCTTGGTCATTCTTGTCTTCAGATTTCCAACGCGACAGCTCCTTGTTTTTCGATTAGTCTCTTGGTACCGAGTAGTTGGCTTGGATATATCGATAGGGGATTGGGTTGTGAAGTGCCGATATCATGGTAAACCTCCGAGATCAATCAATGACCGATAAGTCTTAGATTTCAAAAATTAAACCCTACCCATCGTACGTAGTACTCCTGCTCCCCCTACGTATCCGTTCTGCTAGGATCTCCTCCACTTCCCATTCTTCACTCCCCTCGATATCGACTGGGTCAGGTATCTTTACACCGTCTCGCGCGTGATACGCCTGCAGTAAGGATACGTGGAAGGTATGGTGGAGTTTTCCATACCTCAGTGTTTGGTGGCGCATGCGAGTCGCACGCGGAACGCATGAGAATCGCACTTGGGAGGGGGGGGGAGGCTGACGACACCAGAAAAACATCCATGCTGACATAATCGTCCGTCATGGTCACGAGATAAATGGACTAGCTCAGAATAAGTGGATAAATGGCGAACCAACGAAAATTTACCCTGGAAGAGTGTATGATCTGCTTTTCTCTCATCCAAGGCAATCTACGACGATTTCTCCAAGGCTTTGCCTTCTTGAGGAGCCATCGAGTCGAAATCCTTGCGGACCTTGATTTTATCGCAAGTAGGAAAAAACAAGATATCTCTGCAGCTTACGACAGGAATTTGGAGCCGGGCGCATGGAGAGTGGTATCACGCCCTCGCTGATATATCTGCGCCTCGACAATGGCGAATTTGGAACTGTGGCGATAACGGTGGCACCGTACGCCTTTGCAATCTGTACTGCCGCCAGCCCGACACCTCCAGCGCCGGCATGCACGAGAACCCAGACACCCGCCTTGACGTTGGCGCGACGAAGAAAAAAGACAACAGCTGGATCATTGAAGAAGACTCAGGAATCTATCAAGTTTTGTTTGTCTGTCTGTGTATTTGCCAGAGTCTATGCGTTAACACCAGGACCTTCCTGGCCTCGTCGACGGAGAAGCTCGAGAAGATCCACCACAAGGGAGGCGCAAAATAGAATGCAATGGAAACACTCCGTGCCAAAGATGTGGCAATCTGAATCTCGAGTGCGCATCGTGTGTTGATAACGCCGCCGATCGTCGATCGCGGAGGACACAGCAGCGGACGCCGCTTCTTTGACTGCAGCACGATTAAAAGTTCCTGTGTGGCAATCTTGGGAATCGTTGATCGGCAAGGCGGCGATGAACGGAACGCGCGCGGGCTCCATTCACAGCTGACCTGTCGGAGGGTCGAGTATGAGTCTCCGGACTGAAATTGAGCATTCATTTTGAATTTGCTCTTCGAGATACCTGACACAGCGCGCGAGTGCTGGCTCGCGATGCATTTTCTCTCTAGCCGTCTGTAGGATGTAGCTGTTGGAAAACGTGGAATCTGCACTGCGTCCGCACAAGTACAGTATGACCGCTGCCGCGATGACGGGCTGCCATCGTGATGGTGGAGGGTTTGTAGAGCCGTAGCGTTCCTCGTGCATCAACAGTCTGGTCGCGCATTGCTTCTTTGGTCAATTGACATGGTCCAGTCTCTCCATCCTTGGCTGAGCACACAAATCGTGTCAGGAATGGCACAGGTATTTCGCGAAACAGGAGCGTTTGGGGGACGGGTAGGGCGGGGATCACGGGATACCAGATGACCTCAAAGAAACAGTATGCTCTAGATTGGACAATCTCAGAGACTTGAATCATGGCGAGGACTTTCTCCGAACCGGCGCGACCGGTCTCGTGGCGATTGTTTCAATCAAGGCACTTCGAGCCCAGTTTTGCTCTGGCCGTCTCTGCGCTGAAACACGATTTCAATATCTCAAACTCGTACGTGGACCGGGACGCGCCGCTTGCAAATGGTTCCAAAGAAGCCACCACGGTTCGGCAATATCTTGTTGGGCACAGAGATGTCAAACCCTTGGCTGAAGTTCAAACACACCGCACGCGTTACTCTGGAATGACCAACACTGCCGATGTCGCGAACTGGGCGACTCTCGATGCTTCGATCTCGCTTGGTTCAGTGACCTACTGAGAGAATGGTCTTGGATCCGTTGATCTCAAACTGCTCGTTTTTCCGCAGGCGTCGGCTTCTGCGTCAAGCGGTCACCGGACCGCTAGCCTTGCGCTTCTGGCTCCTCGACGGCCCGATGTCAATCCTGCCCAATTCGAGGAGAGTCAGCTCCGAAGCTATGCCCCAGTGCCAAAGTCCTCCGCTTCGTTTTCTCAAGAAAAGCGGCTATCAAGCTTCATCGTCGGCACATACAACGACGCCCAAGGCACTGAATCGCTCATCAAATCTCTGCCCAAGGATTCACTCGCCGCGATTTCACTAGAACCCATGCAAATGCTCGTTTGGATGCGCCAGCCCAACCGTCGCAACAAGCCGGGTTACCGTGTTGAATGGTCAAAGTTCCTAAAATCTCTGACGAAATTGAGTTCAGCAGCTGTTTGGAAACCCAGTATCGAGAAGTTATCGTTTTTAACGGAATCTCTCTCGCCTGATCGAAACTCCATTTGGGAGGTGATGGGGAAAGAGAAACTCGGATGAAGTCGACAGGATCAGGCAACGTCCTCGCCGGAATTGCCCGAAAAGGGGGAGAGGGACATGGCTTGAAAGAGAAAAAGGAAAAGTGGAAATTACATTGACGACCGATTAAGCGACAGAAACCAGATTTGCGGCGAATCTGCATTTTGGCGCACAGGAACGATCTCGGGAAGGGACTTGGAGACGAAGTTCTTCGAGCCGTTGGCGATAAATCGGGAGAAATGATATGAAAACTCGGAATCAAGGCTCAGCAAAGGCTGAACGGAGAGAACGCCATCGCTGGCGAAGTAGGCGAGTTGAGAACTATGGAAACGGCGTCGAGGTCGAAGATGAATCGGAGATTAGTTCGACATACAACTCAGCAACGACGACATTGTGCATATTCTACAGGTGGGTTACATTTAATCCAGTGTCGGTCCTGACGGATTGCCGATACACGAGGCCGCAGTTGTCGTCCATAACAAAGGACAAGCTCGTGTCCGCCGGACGATTGAATCAGCTTCGTCCTCATCAGCACCACCTGATTCGCAATCGGTGCCTCTTTGCTCTGCTCCTAGGGCTTCTTGTCACCCAACATATTCTTTGTGTCTGCTTCTATTGCGGTGAAAGACTTCTCCCCTTTCCTCGTGCTGCATGTTTCACCAATCCCAGAAGCGTCTTGTCGGAGAACTTGGTCCCTCTGACTCGTGGAAATTCAGAAAGACGCGCCTGAAACATACGTCTCTTGTTCTGCCCGAACTCACAAGTTAGCTTGACGGCTTGAACATCAATCCAGGAATCCTTTGCCTGGATGGGCGTCGAGAACGGCAACCAGTGCTTCTGCAACGACGCCCTCTCCCCGCGAGCTTTTTTGACACTGCCACTGTCCCTGCCACTGTCACTGCCCTTGCCCGCTTCGACAAAAGTACATCTACGAGCCGCACAGGGCGCCGATCGCGGACGGCTTTCCCTGACAAAATACCATGAGTGACCAGCGCAACCACATCCTTCGCCCCGTGTTTGATCAGCGTATCGGTCGCGCCCGTCTGACCAGTTGACCGCCAAATTGCGGACCAGTTGACCCTCTCAGAGGTCGGTGGAAAAGGTGCAACAATCGTCAGGAACGTTCAATTAAACTGATAGGATGGTCACAGGTCACGTCTGCAGGACTGCTATCTGCGGAAAGTGTGGACAGAGTGCCAAAGGCGAGCATGTTTGCGCAAAATACGAATCTCGACCTGTCAATCCTGCGCACATTATTGAAGCATCAACGTGAAGCGTCGCCTTTCTCGCACTCTGCCCTGGACTTTCCTCACACTACACTGCCCTGTTCGTTTGAGACTTTTGAGAAGGCGTACTTGCTCTTCTGCAGAGACCAAGGGAACCGCATCCGTTGAATACTTGTGCATGGTGATTATTTGTTTTTTCAAATATTCCCGGAAAGTCCCGGTTTCGCGTCTCAAAGGTGTCGATTCGTGGAGAAGCAAAGTTCACGCGGACCGAGCGCAGTATCCAGTACACTCATGACCGACTGCCGTTTTGTCAGCTCGATGGCCGAGTCCTGCGACGTCAACAGTCGTCCTTGTCGAGCTGGGTCACGAACGATGACCTCGCCACGTCCAAGCCTAGATTTCGAAATGTCCACTCCAGCTCTGGGTGCAAAGTTGAGGAGCCTGAAGCAGAGAAAGGCTGGATTGAAGCCGTCGATGGGGGAATGAATACTGGCAAGCTGTTGCAACCAAGAATACAGCCTGCAACGCTTGCAGCGTCCTCGGTGAAGTAGAGACTGCCGTAACCCTGAAAGCGTTGCGGAGTCGAGCGCGAAGAACATCGTCGTCGGCATCCAGCCAATCCTCGCCCTCGAAATCGTCACCAGCGTCCCGCTTGACTCGGGGCGGGCGTATAGGATATCCTCGATCTTGTTTGATACGAGAGTTGTCATCATGCTCGATTGGAGGCAGGACCACATCTGGATCGATGCGAGAGTGGAACTCTTGACGCTCTGCGTTGTCGCCACCTCCCACACCTGTTCCTGGTGTGTTTCTTGTGCACCAAAGCATGTGCTGTTTCGAGGTTGGTTGTAGTGAGTGTTTCCGCCACCTCTCGGCCTTGTTCAAGCTTGTATCTGCCTGAGCCCGATACAACAAAATAATTACGCGACCATTCTTTCTTCTTTACCCATATCAGCTGCAGCTCGCTCCAAACTTTGACGTTGTGACCAGCCCGAAAGAAACCCAGTCCCTCCAACAGCCTGGGGAACCAGCTATCCACGACATCCAAGCAAGGATGATTTCTCACGGCATTGAGGATCTGGGGACTCAGATCTTTCCGTATTCCTTACATACCGGCGCTTCTCGACCACATCCATTCTTCGTTTTGACAGAGTAACATCCAAACAATGTCCAAAAGCGGGCGGGTAAGCACAACTGACCGATCCTCTTTCCACCTCACCAACACGCCCAAGCCCGACGGAATTTATGAGTGCGACAACCTGCAGCATGCGAGATGGCGTGGAGAAGTCCCGATAGCAAGAGGCCGACAAACGGTTCATCTCCCCTTTTATCAGTGGAAGATGCCCCCGGCTACAAAGGCGACACGACCCGTCGCGGTATCGACCGCCGACATGCAGGACACAATTGATCAAACTCTGGTGGAATTGTCCACTGCTAGCCCACAGGCTGCAGAACGCATCGCTCTTGATTCCGAGTCTCGTCTTTCTCCTCGGACCCGCAAGTCACATTCGTCGTTCACGCAAAGACCCCTGCGGATTCGTTGTGTGCCGCGGTGGAAATTATCCGGTCAACCTACCCGGCAACAGTAAGTGCTCACACTAGTAGGGGCCGCGGCCGCTCCATGGTCGGCAGTTGGATTCAATGTACTCGCCAATTCGGGAAGAGGAAAACGTATTGGCCAATTGTAACAGCCATTGTAACAACCATTGTAACAGACTTGTAACAGACTTGTAACAGCCAATCGTCCAATCTCGTTGCGGGCAACTTATATTCGAACCAGTCTGTCATTGTAACGTTATCTGGCAAAGTAGAGCAAGTGAGCTTTGGTGGGCAAATCTCCGTGGTCTTTTGAACCCAGTCTATCCAATCTCTTCCTTTAGAGTCGTTGACGCAAAGTCCCCAATAGACTGAGCCAAAGGAAGCCGTTCAGGTTGTCGAACTCGGCGAGGACATCTCCTTGATCGACCAAGCCGCGAAGATGAGGCCGTCGACCACGCATCGTGAGCTGGACTGGAACTGTCGGGCTCCTTCATCCGCTCCGCGTCGCAGCATTGACGCTGGCTTTGATCCCCTAAGAGTGTCCAAGTCGTAGACCTGCAAGGAACTACTAGCCGTATACTCGACTTCCCTTTCCTCTCCTCAATTTCAGGCCGACCACCATCGATGGGCACGTTCGTCTTTTGCATTCAAGGCCTCGAACGTCGGCGCAGACCACGCACCGATCCACGAAATATCTGTAAATACTTCATCAGAGACACATACAAGGAGTTGCCGTCGATCATAATCACGCCCTGGGAGCAGCCCGGGATGGGCGACACGACAAAGCCGCCCTCGTACATCCTGTCGTCGGTCACACGGACTTGTTCCTGCTCAGGTCCAGGATTCCTGCCGGTCGGTCTGCGTTGCTTTTTGCCTGCGGTACCTGCGCTCCGTTGCCTCGTAAGATGGGCTGGCCTGTGCAGCACATCTCCCCGCCCTCCGCTCGCCCTCTTCTCGTTTGCTCGCATGGTATGAGTTTGTCCCCTTCGGCTAGGGGATGATTGACACCTGATAATTGATATCTGATACAAAATGCATGATATCTGGCAAGGGATACATGATACCTGATGCTCCGATGGCTACTTACCTCGTCTCTGAACGCTCACGGCTTAATTCCTGCGGGCAACGCTCCGGCATGTACTCAACCTACGTAGTATGAACTGACTTCTCCCTTGGTTGATATTCTCATGGCTGATACCTACGACCTAATGGCCAGATGGCTGATCACTGATCCCTGATAGCCCGATAGCATCCCGCTGGTGGTGAACATGGGCTACGGCGAGCCCTTGCTTGTTTTCCCTTGTGGGCTGGCCAAGGGTGGACTCGCAGAGTGTAGGTTGAAGTCTCCTTGGGCTGATATCTCATGGCTAATCGCTGATAGCCCTGCCGGTTATGGTTGTTGTAGTGGTAGTATGGTGACAGGGACTACGGCGAGCCCTTGTTTCCGTCAAGACGGTCAAGGGTAGACTCTTCCACCTAGCCTTCCTTGAAGCTAATATCTGTCACCTGGTGTCTGATGGGATGATAGCTGATAGTCCGATACTTGGCAGTCCACAGTGTGGCCGTAACCCTATCGGTACGGTTAAGCGAGTGATTTTCGCCGCGGCGGACAACAACTGCCGCAGGTGCGCGCTGGATAGATTTCCTTCCAATCAAGTTTCCACTCACAGCTTATGAGCGCCCAAACGCTTTATTGCGCGTCGTTTATCATTATCCAGATTTGATTCCCCGGTCGTTCTCTACCGGAAGGGTTCGTAATAACCTCAGTTCTCGAATACCATCGTTCCGGGTGGATTTGGCCGCGGACGCAAGGGCGTGCCGTGGATACTGCGAGGCAGTGCCAAATAAACCAAAACGCGTTTCGAAAAGGTGTTCCGAGGGAACGACCTATCCTATCCCTGCCTGTCCTGGTACCTACCGATCGGTTATCGACACGGGACCCAACGGTGGTCTCATTTTGTGTCACGCTGACACGGACTATTCGGCCGCGGGCCAAACCCATTTCGATCCACCGATTACACTTCACCTGGAGCGGTCTACAGTAAAGATGGGGGTGTTGAATAAGCGGAGGGATCGTTTGATCCTACAGGGCAAGTCTAACTACGCGACGTGGTTGCCGGCCTGCGAAATGGAACTTCGCGCCCAGGAATGCTACAGCGCGATATCACGACCGGTGGTCGTCAATCCAGAGTTGCTAGATCGCGAAGCGCGAAGGATTACGACGGCGGACTTCCTGGCACGCAAACAACCTCGACCTGAAAAGCGTCTTGAAGATTCTGAACTTGCGGCAAACCATGAGCAATGGCTCGCTCAGGAGACGGACAAGTTTGAGAAATGGGAGGCGGTGGACTCGAAGGCACAAGCCGTCATTTACAATCTCTGTGCCCATCACGTCAAACCGCTCATCGTCCAGGAAAAGACGGCGAAGGATGTCCTTGCAAGGCTAAAGCAGGCTTATGGACAGCAAGAGCAGAGCCTTGCGGCGGTCCATCGTCAGGCGGTTCTGGTGAATCGTTACTTTCTCAAACAGTTCACAACACTCGACGAATATGTCAACAAGTTGCGTGCCAATCGCTCGAGTTTTGAGGCACTTGGGCACGAGTTCAAAGACGATTTTTGGGTCTCCGTCTTCCTGAATGGACTGGGCGAGGATTATGAGCTGGTGGTGTCACAGACTCTCGACACAGAAAAGGATAAAGTGGCCTTTGACGATGCAGTTCAGAAAGTCTTCCAGTATGATGTGGAAGGCATCACAGGCATCTGGCAATAGCCAATCTCATCAGGCCAATGCCTTCAAGGCTCAGACTCAATCGAGGGGTCGATTGAGCGGATCTGGTAACGGCAGAGGGAGGAAGCCCAATACCAATACAGTCCAATCCAGGAACAAGGGTTCGGAGAGATGGGCCTGTCGGACACACCAAACCAATGATCATTCATGGAAACATTGCCCTTGTAATCCAAATCGTGTTGATCAGGATAGCCGATCGCAGAAGAGCAGGAAGGACAAGGACAAGGAGAGAGCAGACGCGAACGCCTCTGTCATCGACCAATTATCACCGGAGATCATCTCTATGATCAGGAATGGCAACGGCAAACGAGACCCTCCTGCAGATGGGGGGGGGGGGGGCGACACAGGCCAATCAGGCATACCATTAAGCTGTCACCACGATAGATCTCGCGGTCTGTGACGTTGAAGAACGAGATTTTCTCCTGGATAGTGACGTTTCTCACCATATGATATATCCAAGGACGAGTTACATCAACTTTCGTGAGGAATGGCTGACCACCCGGTTGGCAGGTCGGAGCGAGATTGAGGCTGAAGGCTGTGGCGACATCATTCTCGATTGTGACCGAGAAGGGGTTACAATACCGATTCGATTCAAGAATGTCTAGTATTTTCCGCAACTCGGCGTGAATCTACAGAGTATTCACATTCTCAAGGAACAGGGAATGCTTGCTATCCTTGAGAAGATTCCTGGTCTGGTAGACACTGGAAACGATTGCGTTCTGATGATGCATCCGTGCCCAATCCATGGCCGTCCGCCCTTTCGAATCCCGCAAATCCGCCCTGACCTCGCTGTCACCCAAAAGCAATTCTACATTACGCACGTTGCCGTTAGCCGTGGCGTACGACAACGGCGATCGGCCGTCGTGCGCCTGGCGCGTGCTTGTCCAAGTGTGGCAGACTCAACAGGTACTCGACAATCCGTGTAAACCCCTCAGTGGCCGCGCAAGCCAGTAAGGAACGACCGCCGGCTTGACTTCTCTGATTGACGTCCGCTTTGCCCTCTTCGACAAGGATTCGGATAGCTTCGAGATAAAGGCAATCGGCGAATTGCAAACGTCCTGAAGGAAGGAAGGCGTTTCCTACTCAGTGCGAAGGACAACGTTTCGTCTCTGGTCCAGGTTCATCGTGAGGAATCCATCAATGCACTATCTGTGAAGGGCGGAGAATCGGCAAGACTGTGGCATCGACGAAGGGGCCATTGTCTCCTGACTACCACAGACGATTATTCCAGACATGTAGTCCTCTACTTCCTCAAGAACAAGGCTCAGAGCGATCTGGATGAAGGATTACGTGGCGAACGCGGCGAACGCGGCGAACGCGGCGAACAAGAGAATGGGAAGGACTCTGGATTACCTGAATATTTGTGGGAGAACCTTTTGCAAACCGCCACTTGTTTGCTCCCTCGCAGTCCGAACGGATCGATTGGTTTCGTTACACCCTTTGAGCGGTTCAGTGGTGGACAACCTGATCTGAGTCATTTGCGGGTGACTGGAACTCGTGCCGTGCCTTTGTTCATATGCCAAAGGAGAAGCGCCAGGGAAGTTTGCAGACCGTTCCAAGCCGTGCATCATGCTTGGGTACGGCGCCTCGCCTTCAATCTACTGGGTGTTTGATCCTGAGGAATGTAGAGTGTTCCGTTTCAAGGACATTAATGATCTTTGATGCAGATCAAAATAGGGGTTTTGCGCCTGTTAAAGTCACGGAGGAATTCGACAGTGATGAGGATATTCAGGATGCACCACTAGTTGATTTCTCAGAGTTTATGCGAGAGGAACCGTTGGATTTGTCGTAATTACATGTGGAACAAGAGCAACAGGTCATGGCTGAACCAAAAGAGGCAGTTTACTTGAGACAGTTCCTGCGCGGACGAGGCCGAGAACAGGTCACGCCGACGACGATTTACGGGAGATAATCAGGATGCGTTGGTGCCCGCACAGACGCCGTCCGGACACGGCAGGACCAGGCACGTTGAGTTTCAGTACAGTTACACCAGAGGAAAGGTGGAAGACTCGACAGTGTCGTTCTCATTCGCCCCCAACGACGGAAATGGCGCGGATGGGCCAACGAAACGGTTGAATCCTGTCCACTTCAACAAGTTCCAGAGATGATTGGGATGAACGCACTGGAACAAGTCACGCTTGGACAGGAGCGATCGGTCAAAAGCCAGTTGGCAGCCATCAGGTTGCGAGGTTTAAACAGGACAGAAAGGTCTGTGGAAAAGGCGCCTGTTTGGACAGGTTAGAGGGTGAAAAGCTGTGTGTTTTCATGGATTCATACAAGTTTCCACTGACACACAGTCCATGGCGTATGGCCCGATGGTTGATATCGTACGGTATCATGTTGTGTCCCGCATTCTCCAAAGGTACCAAGCGTGTTCTCGCAGTATGAGCCGAGTCTGTCTCCCCTTGGCTGGTATTCTCATATCTCGTGGCTGATACATGATATTCTCGTGGCTACTACCTGCTACCTACTAGCCAACGCGAGCCGCGAGATGCTGGTAACCGCCGAGGGGGACATGGTGCACAATCTCTGGCAGGACATATTCTACATCCCTAACCCCACGATGGCGTTTGTAGGTACGCCCTTACAAGTCACCACGTTTTACCTCTTCGACTTCCAAGCGCAGGTAGTCGCCCGGGTCTTTGCGGGTAAAGCGTATCTGCCGGCGCAGGACGTGATGCGGAAGGAATACGAGGATCGCCTCGCGTATAGAGGGACGGGCTGGGACTTCTACAGCCTCAGAAAGAGAGGCGCCGAGCAGGATTACGTTGCGAGGTTGGTCGAGTGGATGAACAAGGACGCGGCCGTGACGGGGACGGAGTACATGCGCGGACACACATAGGAGTGGATTGCGGCGTACGAGTCGATGCAGGAGAAGTTTGCCTTCCTGCAGGTGACGGAGGACAAGCCACAGGGAGAATCAGGGGATGGCGAGGAACTCGTGTTCAATGGTTCCAAGTTCTTCAATACTGGAGGCGTCGTGTCCGATGCCACGATTCTCGAGGGCGTGTTAGATGGTACCGAGGACCATATTTTCACCATTGTACCCACAAAACAGCCCGGAATTCAGTTTGGCCATGACTGGGACAACATTGGCATGTGATTACCCACGGCCCCATTGCTCGCTGGTGCTGTGATGGTTCTGTTGTTGGTTGTCTGCAAATGAGGGGCGCGAAATGCAAAAACCGAATGAGTCGCATTTCTTTCTCTCTGTCGGTCATCTGGCCGACAGGATGGGGAATAACTTGCATGCGCGAAGCGTGCAATAGGACTCATTGTTCGAGGGCTTACTTGGTGAGTCTTTGTGACATTCGGCAGACCAGCCGACCTGCAGCGGGCCCCTCGGCTTTTCCTTGGAGGGCCGACGACTGGTGATCGCGTCCGGCTGGGAATGACCGACCTGCGAATCAAGGTCGAAAAGGGATTTGACGGTCTACGGCGAGGAGTGCAAGTTTGGTGGCGGCTGACCTGTTCATGGACTGTTACGTGGGCTGTTACAATGATTGTTACAATGTGTCACGGACCTAATCTCTTGGCACGTTGATCACGTGCCATTTGAGATGTTGTTCACACAACAGAACCTCAACCTTTTCAGACAGTCTTTCGTACTGCAATGTGAGCTCTCTGGAACAGTCTCTTCACTTCGGGACTGTGAATAACTAACTATTGGTTCTACTCCCCACAGCTCAATATCTCCCAGTCTCCCAGTACCGGAAGAGCTATCGGTCTCACATTCCAAGGACCACTAAGTAGAATCGTGATCCAGACTCGTTGATATGAACCATCCCGGTTCCGAGGCTGCGGATACCAAGCCATTATTAATGTAACAAATGCGGAAATTCTCCTTCTGCGACTCCCAATCTTTTTCATCATGATGGGTGTCAAGAGCCTGCAAATCGTCGTCAGAGGCCATGATTATAACAGAGTCTTCAAGAGAGAGAGAAAACTTTGTCACTTGCATTGGCATAGCGTGGTAACATGTTCGAATAGAAACCCGGGGAAAGATTGCCCAAAGGTTTCCCCTTGCTAAAAAAAATTGATATCAAAAGTTTCTCCACTCAGAAGTCAAGAGGTCCATGCTGCGTGGTGATTTTGGTACCTCCCTATGCGAGCTCAGCTCTACGTCCGCAGTCAGATGGGTATTAATGATCTTTACCTCCCTGATCCTCTAATGCTTGGTCCGGTGGTGCTTGATCCTTTGATGCTGTGACGAAATGCTATCAGTCGTTCGATCGATACCCTTAATCCATGCCGTACTTGTATCGCAGGATGGAATGGATCCCCTCGAGATCTCGTGTAAGTGGGTATGGAAGCAGGGCCCGTGCAGGCATGACTCGATCTCGGAAGATTCGTGATAGGAGATTCTGAATGAGGTCGAGCATTGTTGACCTGCATCAGCAGCAGTCGTCGACCAGAGAGCCGAACCACCTGAGACCTCCCTCTGCCAAAGTCCTCCCACACGTTTTCGGCAACCTTCATGAGAAACAAGAAGCCCCGGGCCGAATCACATCATTGCGCATGCTTTTCCGTCTGCTTTGTGACAACCAAGGGCAACCTATGCTCAGACTGATGCTCTTCAACCTCAGATATCAGCAATGTCGACCAGGAGAGGGGTCGGCTTGGGGTGTCTTCACGAATCGAAATGCTACCGCTCAATCCTACGCTGCACATGGCTCGAACTTGAAATCCGCCAACGCAGCCTCGCTTCAGGCACAGCTGGAGGGTTTTCCAGTCTCTCCTCCATAACTTCGCACTCGAACATGCGGCGACAATCAAATCGAACCCAACATTCCGCGCAGAGTTCGCGCGAATGTGCAATGCGATTAGTGTTGCTCCTGAAAAGCCCGTCTCAGGCAGCCAGCCATCAAGCACGTGTCAAGCGAGGCATCCCCTCTCCTTCTCATCCTGCGACTTTCCATCTTCAACCAGCGCATCAACCCTGACCACGCGGCGCACAAGGAGCTATGCCCCGGCAAAAGGGCGTTAAGTTCCAGCATCGGTCGAACAGCAAGGGCAACGGCAACGGCAACGGCAACGGCAACGGCAACGGTAATGGAAACCTTAGCAATTGACGTGTACCGAGATGGACAAGTACATGGCTGATGTATGGACGGGCAATACACAAAGCACAGGGTGCAATATCGTTGCTCGACTCCGTCTTGGATCGCTGGCTCTTGACGCTGACTCAGCACTCCAGAATTAAGGTTTGAGTGGCAAAACACCACAACTACACCACCAGTAGGGTATTTACTATGAAATCTTACGGGGGAGGCATTTTCTATCGTAGAATCATGTATCGAGTGTAAAAATTCAATTATCAGGTCTTAATCGTGGCCCAGCGGAAAGACACAAAACTCGAGGGCTGCGAAGGCACTCTCACAAAAGTTAAGGTTTACAGAAATTGAGGTTTACAGGAATCAAGGTCTGCGGGAATTTAAGGTCCGGGTGGCAAAACACCAGCACCAGAAGGCCAGCAGGGACTGGATCGCGATGTGGAAGATCGACCGGCCAAAGGCGAAAAAGTAGGAGTCTGGAAAGGATTCCGGCCACGATCTTAATGAAGATGAAGCGCGCAAGGGGCCAACCGTTCCCATGGCGGAACGTTGAATGAGCGAACCAAGGCATCGTCGAAACGGGCACGTAGCGGGCAACAGTACGAGGAAGGAATAGGAACCTACCAAGCAACAGTCTACGCGATATGCAAATACCAACCAATCAAAAGTTCCCAACAAAAGTTTTCGTTGAGCTGTAGCTAAGGAAAGTACCCCCTAAAGCTTTTCCGTCAAGGGGCAGCCAAGGAAGTCGACCAACTTCTGACGCTTGTACATTTCAACGCATTCAAGGGCTGTCTTCCCGCAAGAATCCTTGCTCCAACTATCGGCACCTTTTTTTCCATCGATATCGGACGACGTCTTCGAACGTCCCTCCAGCAAGGAGGCGGTATACAAACACTGGTTTCTTGTGGCCCAGACGGTATGCTCCGCCGATGGCTTGTTCTTCCCACGAAGGTAGCTACCTGGACTTGATTTGTTCCTTCTATTGACCATCTATCAGCCTCCGCGGGCTTCTCTTAGATCTATCCCTAGGGACACCTGAACGGCCACGGCCACGGCGCAGTCCTTCGCCCGAGACCTCGTCGGAACTAGTCTTGCCAGCGTCAACGGCGCCGCCAGCGTTTGGTAGAGGCAAACGTGTTCGTAAGCGAACGATGAGACCAGTTCAGGCCCAGCAACAAGGTTTTCTGCCTGACTTACAAGATAACTGGAGAGATCGACACCAAGATTGGCAATACAAACAGGCGCCGGCGAGGTCAGGAATAGCAGGAATGGCTTCTGGTGAGCCCAGTCGACCTTGCGTTCTGGCTACTTTATCTGTCCCGTGAGACCAGCGAACTGTTCCACTGACAGATTATAAACCATGCAAGAGATGACAGTGCGTGGTTTTACCATAGTCTTTGGTGATTGGCGTCGTGTCGGCGCTGAATCGACAAACCCGCGCTGTCGAGGGAGAGGCAGAGAAGCCCAAACACACCTTCAACATGGCCTAGATGATACTTGACCAAGGAGACAACCAACACCGAAACACGCCTTTAACATGGCATGGATGATACTTGACCACGGAAACAACCAGCACCGAAACACGCCTTCAACATGGCCTGGATGACTTGACCACGGAAACAACCAGTACCGAATGTCGCCAATCTTGGACCTCGAAGTATTGCAGACCTCGCTGGAACAATGCCGTTGCTGTATAGTCTGTCGCTGTATAGTCTGTCGACGAGGGCTCAGATATGGGTGCCTCGTCCACCTTGGGGGCATGGCACAAGATTTGATAGTCATTAAGACGTCCATATTCGTTCCGCCATCTGATCAACAGTAACAAAGAAGACACCACTGGGCAATGTCGAATGTCATCCCTGCTGATTGGAGTCGAGTGTGCTTTGAATTGGGCGTCTCACACCGCCTGTCTCGTTTGTCTCTGTCAGGGCCGCAGCACGACTCGGCTGGACTGGCCATGAGGCATCAAGTTTGTCCTGGCGTTCGATCCTGTCACCGCCTTAAACCCCCCCCCTCTGCCGTCGCTCAACAGACTCTCCTAGTCATCCTTTTCGTGCGATTCGCTAGCACGATCGCCCACAGGTTCAATCAACAGCCTCTCTCCTCGAATTCGCGCCGTGGAATAGAATTGCTCGCCGACTGGCGGCCAAGACCTATCCTGTTGCCTGAGCCTCCTACTCAATCGATTTGAGACAGGACGAAGGGTTCGGATAGAGATGGATGAGCCCAAACCACCTTCGATAGAGGCCAGAAATCCCTCCTCTTCACTATCACGCCGACGTTCAAGCAAGTCTGCGATTCAAGTCACTCTGCTGTCGCCTACGACAAGCATTACAGTACAACACCACACCACCGGGCTATCAGCGATCAGTGATCATGTATCAGGAATGACCCCATCGGACTATCATCCCTCAGCTAAAGGACACAAATCTCACATCTCGCGAGAGGTATCGAGGCGCGCATAACGCCCCCCATACCTGTCACCTTGCTATGTCCAGGAAGGTCTGTTCCTTTCCTGCGTTCGACCATGCCGTTGACTGATTTATATGCAGAGAAAGCCGCGAAGATTCGCGGGTCACGGATACCTCACAGACCCAATTGTGTGTTGTGCTCTCCTATCCTGCCTGCCTGACTTTGTGTTCGAAGGGATTGAGCTTCTCCTTCAGACTGTTGAAGAGGGGGCAAGTGGTGTAACACCACCGGAGAGAGCGAGGATGGTGTGGACCAGCCTTTCTGTACTGACATTGTCGATCTCCACCAAGTCATGCTTTGGAAGGCCCGATTCAGAGCTTCTGGAGCCGCACGGTTGGCGTTGCGAAAGAACACCTTGGATCAACAGAAAGACCTACTCGAAATGGAGTTCCAACAGGATCAACAGATTAGCAACCTGATGACAGAATGACCAGTTTACAGAATGCCTAGTAACAGAAAACAGGACACTGACCAAATACAGGGTAAATGGCCCTCAGGCGGTTCAACATCCTCGAAAGGCCCACGTCGTCAGGACCACCCGCGCGAGTGATCAATCAGGCCCTTTGGATGCGCCCAGTCGACGTCTCCGGAATGAACAGTGGATCACCGAGGAAACAGCGTCATCAAGAAGGAGGGATAGCTTTGGTTGGCGCCAGGAGGCATAATTTCCCTTTTGGGCGATTTGGGTGACTCGTTCCAAAGTGTCCGTTACGACACCGTTTTGTCGATTCGAGCACAATTCAAACACGACCACGAATCAACTGCCTGTTCTACCAATTTGGTTGATGGACCTTGAGGAGATGGCAGACCTCGTCCCGCTGCAATGAAATGGTCGATGGTAGGGGTGGCGGCAGGATGGATCGTCCTGGTTGCTTTTTCCCAATCGGGACTTGCCGCAATTGGAGGATTTCCGCGTTGGGTTAACGATAATTGCTCCTACCACCAAGCAGATCTCGCGCCATGGCCTGCGACTTGATGGATCTATCTGAACACACCAATTTCCGCAACGACCTCTCCTGGCGCAGTTCCAAGGCCGTTTCCTGACAGGTAATCCCGTAATTGCCACTGCCATCGCCTATAACGCTAATGACGCGGGATCTTCAGGTCCTTGAGCTTCGTGGCGGATTCTCACCACCATGAGTGCTTCGCCACTTGGAGAGTGCGTGACACTCCAAAGCGACCTCTCGAACCTCTTGACTTTGGGTGGCCTCATCTCTAGAAGTACTCATGACACCAACTGCCTGTCGAAGTAGACAAGGCGATCTCCAGATGCTCAACCATGTCGTCGACTCCACTTGTTCTATCTTGGCCCAACGCAAGCTCGGCGATGAAGAGCACCAGCGACAAGCTCGGTCTTGTTGGAAAATGGTTTGGATTTGTCGACGTCAGTACAGCAGTCTGTCAGAAGAGGAGGACGAAGAAGAGGAAGAAGAAGGCGATGGCATTCTGGGCGGACGAGCCAACTGCGAATCGGAGGCCCAGCAGGCCGTAGAAGACATGGTCGGACCTCATCTGATACTTCCGTTATTGAGTCACCTGCGGAACTTCTGTATGGTCTGATACACGCCCACGCTCTTCGCTGAACACTTCGTGTGGTCCCCGAGAGTTATCGGGGCGAATTCGCAAGCAAAGCTGATTGTGAAATTGGCATCGAGGTCGGCACCCGAGACAATCAGACTCACACCCTCTCGCGGCCTCCTGCAAGGCATTCTCCTCAGTTGTTCCACCAGGGGCCAACCGGCCTATAGCAACGGCAACGGCCTGTCTCCAGAGGACACTCTGGTGCCACCTGAGTCTGTCTACCTGTCATGGTGGCGAGAATCCGTTTCAACCCAGCCCGGGCAGCACGCGCCGAGGCATTCCGAGGATTGATGAGAGAATCAGTGGAGGAGGAAATGATGGAGAGAGCATTGATGAAGAAGTGGTTGCTCAAGATTCGCCAACTCGGCAAGCCTTCCCTTGTTGATATTTACTCGCTGGCGCTGGTGCTGTGGTGGTCTGGCTGTCTGCAAACCTTGATTCCTGTCAGAGTGCCTCTCGCGGAATGTGAGTTTTGTGTCCTTTGGCTGAGGGATAATTCAGACTTGATGAAACCGATAATATCCATGATAGTCGATGGTTGATGACCCATATTCCACGGCCTACGGAGTGGTTGTGCTGGTGGTGGTCCGCAAACCTCAATTCCCTCCAAGTCCTCTCAAGATTCGAGTCAAGCTTGTCTCCGCTTGCTGATATCTACGATCCTATCGCCAATACCTGATCCGATACACGATCCTCGATGCCCGCTAGTCGATAACCCATAGTCCATGGCCTGATGGCGTTCGTAGTGCGGTGCTGTGGCGTTTTGGTGAAAAACCTTGATTTTTTGCCACTGCCCTCATCTCATCCATCTCCCCACCCACGCACCACGACTTTAGTCTAATTGACACCTGATATATAATACATGACATTCCAGTAGCTAATGCCCAAAATCTCATCGCCGATAGCCCTCTGGTTGTGGTGGTAGCTGCTGGTGCTGGTGTTTTGCCACCCAAACCTTAGTTCCTGTAAACCTTAATTCCTGTAAACCTCAATTCCTGTAAACCTTAATTTCTGTAAACCTTAAGTTTTGTCAGAGTGCCTTTGCAGCCCTCGAGTTTTATATCTTTCCGCTGCAGCACCACCTAGGCCTGATATTTAATTTTTAACATCTGATACATGATAGTACGATAGAGAATACCTCCCCCCTCAAATATCAGAGCAAATAACCCGCTGGCCGTGGAGTTGTGGGTGTTTTCGGTGTTTTGCCACCCAAACCTTAAATTCCCGCAAACCTTCAATCCTGTCAGAGTGCCTTTGCCTTTGCAGCCCCCGAGTTTTGTGTCTTTTCGCTGCAGCGCCACTGAGACCTGCCAACTGTTTTTTTTTACGTCTGATACATGAAACTACCACAGCGGAGACCTCCTCCCCAAGATTTCATAGTAAATAACCCACTGGTTGTGTAGTTGTGGTGTTTTGCCACTCAAACCTTAAATCCGCGGAAAACCTTAATTTCTGCGTTTGCCCCGTACGGATTCAACGCCCTTTGGCTGCAGCACGACTGAGAGCTCCCAATTGATTTCTTACACATGATACGTGATTCTACGATAGCGAAGACCTCCCCCTCAAGATTTCATAGGAAATAACCCACTGGTCGTGTAGTTGTAGGTGTTTTCGGTGTTTTGCCACCCAAACCTTAATTGCTGAGTCAGCGTCAAGATACAAGACGGAGTCGAGCAACGATGTTGCACCCCATGTTTTGTGTATTGCCCATCCATCCCGGTGTACTCGTCGATCTCGGTACTTGTCGATCTCGGTACCCGTCAATCTCGGTACACGTCAATCTCGGTACTCATCCACCTTTGTGCTGGTCGACCTCTCTCCAATCTCGGTACTTGTCGACCCCACGTCGATCCCTTGTCGATCTCTCGTCGATCCTCCGTTCGTCAATCTCGGTACTTGTTCATCCCTCGTCGATCCCTCGTCGATCTCGGTACTCCTCCCTCTCAGTGCTCATCCATCTCGGTGCTCATCCATCTCGGTGCTCATCCATCTCGGTGCTCATCCATCT